ATTGCCAATGCCCATGTTATGTATAAAGAGAGCTAGAGGTATAGTTGGCATGCCAATAGTCGAGTGATATACAGTGGTCCTTCAGGACATATACAGTGGTCCTTCGGGACATATACAGTGGTCTTTCGGGACATATATAGTGGTCCTTCGAGACATATACAGTGGTCCTTCGGGACAAATTTCACATGCCCCTAGTGGGACCCCATACGAGTTGTGGTGACAGCATAGTACACAACCTCAATAGACTTACATATCTATAGTTTTCGCATATGTACATAGGCTAACAAAGAGTTAATAATAAATATATGATATGTATGCTTTTGGTGAAATAAATTGTATTATATGATTTAAATGATGATATGTATATTATGTAGTTAAATGAGCCATGTTGGTTAAAAAGGTTAGGTATAAAAAGGATATGATTGCTAGAAATAAATGATAATTATATTGATAGTGAAATAAGGTTAATGATGGAAATGATGAATGATGTGTATATGTGTACAATTGATTATATGTGATGTTATATTGTTGTGGGTGATAGTATGATATGCTATGTATATGCATGGTTAAGTAGTTAGGGTTACTTTTATATGTTAATGCTTCACTAAGTCATAGACTTAGCGTGTGATTGTTTCACACGTAGGTTGCAGAAGCGAGAAGATAAGCTAAGAAGAACAAGACAGGTCAGATTCTCCTTTCCACAGTTCAGATCAGAAATACATTTAAATTATATGTATTTTGTCATATGAAATGTAGTTAGCATGTAAGATAAAATATTAGTATTGGTTATGCTCTGATCAAATTTGTAAAACCATATGTTTTATACAATAAATATTATTTGGGTTTTGTTGGAATATTAAACTGAATTTTATTAGATTTTGGCAAATTAAACATTTTGAACAGTCAATATGACACCTCGGACTCGTATCCGGGTCGGGTACGGGTTGGGTGTTACATTTAATGGTATCAGAGCTAAGTTTTAGTTGATTCTAGGCTTAAACCTAAGTCAAATGAAGTTTAAAAATGTGACATGTCAACTCAAAGTGAAAAATTTCTGATCTGATAGTGTAAGGAGTATGATGTCTTGTTAATAGAATAAGATTTGTATAATATAGTAGAAATTGATTATAGAAATTGTCGAAGTGAATCAATGGCTGACAAATCTGATGGTGATAGCAATTTACCTGCCCTAGCTATATAGGATGAAGAGCAGAAATCTCAGAAAGTGTCTTATAAGATTAAAGGTTGATTTCAGAAAGTTGAAATCATATCTGAATAATGATAGAAAGTTTTCACTGTTTTGAATCGGAAATGTGATATGGATTCATTTTGTTACTTCGTGGATAAGATAGAATATGGTGAACAAGTGTCACCATAAGAGCGTTAAAAGATCAAATGATGCAGTGAGAATTGGTAGAAGAGTTCAAGAATAAGTGTATCAGTGACAAACGTATAAGATGTATAAAGTCAGAGTTTATGAGTTTGAAACGAAGGGATAGCATTGTGTATAAGTAAAAGTGTGTTTATGATAAGGGTTTGTAGTTAAGATGGAAAGAGTTAGCGTTGGCTAACCAGAGTATGTGATAAAATGTACCGGAATTATAAGATTATAAAATATTGTAAGGTTATGATAACCAAATATGATGTGGATTTGGATATGGTGGTGTATTCTGAGTATGGAAATGTAAGGTAGTAAAGGAGATAAGGATTTGTATGATTGAGGAAAATACAACTATAAGAGATTGTAAAGAATGAGGTTTGTATAAGTGAAATTGATTATCAAAGTTATAAAAAGGTGATAAAGATAGGTAATCAGATATGAGTATAAGTAATAGGAAAAGTGTATGTGAACATGAACAGAAAGATATGATTTATGTATAAGGAGATTTCAATTTTGAATGAATAAAGGAATAATGGAATAAAGAAATGAAAATGATTGAGTTTAAAGTATCAGATACGATAAAGGTTATACGGAAGTGTAGATGATAATTTCGATATAGAAGTAAGAAAAGTGTGCAAGGTGATGTGAAAAGATTCTTTAATATGTATTTTAATCATATTTAAAGAAGATTTAAGGTTGTGTTCTTGGTCAAATGATGAATGAAAACGAGTTTGGTTATTGTTATAAGGTAATTAGAGATAGATTTATGAGATTGAGAGATGAAAATGGATGTTACTGTCTACGTGATGAGTGACATTATATTGAATTTTAGAAATAGTCAAAGAAAAATGCAGAATCGAATGAGAGAAAAGATATAAATGGATTGAGGTTACTGGTTACTGTTTATATGATAAGCGACAGTAGATGAATGTATAAATGAACAAATGTGGATAAAGAGCATTAGAAGATATGTAGAGGTAGTGTACTTATCGATGTGTACAGTGAAAATTCGAGGACGAATTTTCTTAAAGGATGGGAGATTTGTAATATCCCAAAATCAGGGCTAGTGACTAAAATAGAAACTTTGAAACTTTGAAGTCTGATTTTTAAAGATTTAAAAGTTCAGGGATTAAATTGGAATATTTAGTTGATTTTAGTTGGTAATTATTAAAGGAAATAAAGGGTAAAATGGACATTTGACTAGAAAGATTTTTATCTTTCTTTTAGGGCTATAAAACACGTGGAAAGGGTGAGAAAGAAAAGAAAAGTCTGGAGCTTGGGTTATCTCCTTTCTCTTCTCTTCCCGTAAGCTCCATGGCAAAGGTAAGTTTAATTTCAGTTGGTTAATTCTTGAGTTTTAAGCTTAGTTTTGATTCTTGGGGTGCTAAGAAAGATTATTTAGAGATTAAAGTATGTTGAAAATTCAAAATGGATGAGTTGGGGAGGATTAAATATGAAGAGTTTTTAAGTGAATTATTGAAATAAAAGGAGTTAATAGATTTTGAAGTTGAATTTGACTTGTTAATGGTTAAATTAAGGAATATGAAGTGTTAGAAGTGGATTTAGAACATGTTGAAAATTGAGTGTGATTCTTGAATTTCATAAAGAGGAGAAGATATTGAGGTTAAAGATGAGATAAATGAATATTAATGAGGCTCAGCACGTGTATGTAAGTTAAGGATTTAAATGGGGTTGAAATATGGCGTAATTAAATTAGAATAAAGTGATTTTCGTGCTTAAATTAGAATTCTGGGACTTGTAAACATTTTATTAGATTTTGGCAAAGTAAACATTTTGAACAGTCAATGTGACACCTCGGACTTGTATCCTGGTCGGGTACGGGTTTGGGGTGTTACATATATTGTTTCGTGCCATCTAAAATTAATTTTGGATATAATTTATATAATTTTTTTGTATTTGTATCTTTAGGTAAATTATGCGTATAGTACATAAACTATCAGTTTTGATCCGTTTTAATATCTAAACTTTTAAAAAATTTAAAATTATACCTAACATTTAATTTTTATTTCGTTTTAGTACTCGTAGTTAAAAAACTTAACAGGTGATTTGCATGTGGTACCTTTTTATGGATAAATTGCACCATTCATCACTCAACTATCTTCTCACTCATATTTTGGTTACTGAAGTTTAATGTTTTTTAATTTGATTACTTAACTTTCAAACTACTTCTAATTGAATCACTCTAACTTTCAATTTTTTTATTTTAAATTGTACATTAATAAAATTATAACAAAAAATGTCATGTCACAAAAATTATTAACAAAATAAATTAGAGTGATTAAAATAAGAGTAATTTGAAAGTTGAGTAGTTAAATTAAAAATTACTTTAGTATCAAGATTGGAGTGAGAAGATAATTGAGTGATGAATGCTGTGGTTTACTCATAAAAAATGCAGTGTCAATAAGTTTTTATGACGAAATACTAAAATGAAACAAAAACTAAATATTAAGTATAATTTAAGGAAAATTAAAAGTTTAGATACTAAAACAAATCAAAAAATAATAGTTTAAATATTAAATGCATAATTTACCGTAAACCTTTTGATTGGAAGGGGAAGGAATGGAGAGAGTTGAGTATATAGTTCATCAATTAGTACAATTTTTTTTTTTTTTTTGAAAATATCATCTATCAGCACAAGTTTGTCCGTTTGTGGGATCCCTCTTGGTACAGTTAGGGATGTGCCAAAAAAATCTGATTTGATCAATTTGATCTGTTAATTTGATCCTAAAATTCAGATATTGATCTTTTTTTTATTTTGGGATAGTTCAGATTGGATATTTAAAAAAAATTGGATAATCAAATCGAATACAAATCAAATAAATTCTAATTTTGGATTACCCAAAAATTTTAAAAAATGAGACTTTGAAAATTTTTACCTAGGCCCAATGATCTTAGCCAGCCAACACCTAGCCTGAAATACCAACCTTATTGTGTAGCTTTGATCCTTTTTTTCCCTAACAATTTTAGTTTTATTTTCACGTTTTATTGTTGTATCTAAGTGCTCATCACATAGCATATATTTTTATAATATATTTTTAAGATAAACTTAAAATATATATTTCTAATACAAGTTCTAAAATTCAATATATGTAGTTTTGTTCATCCTTAACATTTTTTCAATTTTTCAGGTTTAATAAATTATATATTGATAAATATATATAATAGAGGTACAGAATATGTTGTATAAAGTTAGAAAATATTAAATTTTATTTTTAAAAAAAATTAAAACTTATATTCAGATTTGGATATTTATATATCTAATTCAATATTTTGGATATCTAATTTTTTCAAATTGAATATAAATCATAATTTTAGTAATTTAATTTTCAAATATTCAAAATTTCAAATTAAATAATATCAGATATATGATAATGTACGCCCTTAATTACCCTTAGGTCCTGTTTGGTTCAAGGTATATTTCATTACCGAGGGGAATGTTTTTTTCCCAACTGAATATACCCATGTTTGGATGAACAATATTACTAAGGGCCAGTAAAAAATTAATACCAATAGTGATTTTTACACTGTTTTCCCAAGAATATTAATCCCCCGTCTCCCTTAGGTATTTGCTTATTCCCGTCATTGTTGTCTAAAATAGCCTCCCCACTGCTGAAATCTTCTTCTTCTTCGATTTGGCTGAGGTATTTGCTTTCAAAATTGGGATTTCCAAAATTGAAATCCCTAAACCGTAAAACATGCATTCCTTCCTCACGCTCCACCGCTCTAGCCTCCAGCTGTGCGCTCTCGGTTCACAGTCGTTTTTACCGGCTCATTGCAGCAGAAGGAGGACATGAAGAAGAATTTAGCTCTCGCTTCCTTTGCAAAGCCATTGATCAAGAAAAACATTGATCAAGCAAGATTTCACGACAGTAATGTTCTGTTTTTTCAGTTAATTGATATGTCTATGGTATTTGCCTTAGTTAATCTTAATGATTTAAATCTCATTTGATCTTCCTTTTTTCTCCATTTCAGTCCATACTTCGACAAGCCAAATTTGACAGGTGAATTGATCTATACCCAATGATCCCTTAAAACTGGCAATTTTTCATTAGTTGTTGTTGGCCATAATCTGTTCGGAAAATCCACCCTTAATTTTTACATGTGAATTTGTCATCGCTTTGTTCTGAGTTGCTAATCGATGCATTCTTTTTTATATATGTATAATTAATTTTCTTAGCTTGCGTTCCATCTGGCTTTCTCTATCTGTTTCCCTTTATGGCGTACTTTCAGATTACTCTTTTATTGGTTTCTTTCCTTTCTTGGTTTATGTTAAAAGAAAAAAAGAACTAAAAGATTAAAATTCTGATAATTCAAGTGAAAAGTCGAAAGTTATGTTGGAAATTCTGTTGCATTTTGATTATTTGTTCAATCCAACGGGAATTTCATTTTTGGATATTTTTCTTTTTGATTTATGGAAAAGATTTGAGAAAGCAAACAACATGATATGGTTTTGTGTACTTGTAATTTATGGGTTTGGAAATTAGAATGGACTGTAATTTGTTCAGAAATGTAAATACATGCCTTTTTAGTTTATTGTAGGTGTGGAAGTGGAAGTGGAAGTATAACGGATTTTATCTAAACTTGTTTTAAGATTGATTGATTTTTGTCTATAAATTGATTATCAAATTGTTATTTTCCATGGACTTAGTCTGTGATTTCTTGACTTTGATGTCTTTTTAGGGTTCTTATCGATTGTCGCAGTTCGTATTTCCATAATTTTTTAAAATATGGGACATTGCTTCTCTAGGGTAAATGCTTTTAGCACATGTTCTTTAAAGAAAGAAGCACAAAACACACAAATTAGACAATTTCAAAGGCGCGAAATTGCTTGGTGCTAGCATCTTCGATGCCGATTTGACAGGTTTTCTCCCAACTATTCTATGTAAACTAACTAAATTCGAACATTTTTCATTAAAGACCTTCAAAAGTCCCTCCAGTTTTCTGTTGTCTCGAAAAAAGTATTCGACGAGACTAATTTCAGGTTTCGAGCTTTTTTTAAGGTCCGGTAATGGTTTGGGGTTTTCAAACATATGATTACCATATAGGTTGAGGTCATTAAAGGGCTAGTAAAGTAATATAATGTGGTTAAGTTGGCCTCACTGGTTAAAAGACCTCGATTTGTATCGATTTTCATGAAACATCTGTAATCTTCATGAGTTGAGGTTGTAAAAGACCTCGGGTAAAATTAATTTTTCATTGATCTTCCGCTTCTTTTATGCTCATATATGCTTGCATAATAGACATCGACCTTTTTTCGAGTTTCAGCTAGTAAATAGTTCAGATAAGTGCATGCATGCAACTTTAGGCGAACTCTGGAATCTTTTGATCTTTGTCCCTACTCGTGTTTTAAACGGCTTTTGATTAACCGAAACGATGCAGGAGCCGACCTTTCTGAAGCTGATCTTAGGATGGATAATTCACTGTTTTATTGGATGATATCTTCGTTCGAATCTCCAATCGTTCCTACCTGCAGGCAAATTTGAACAACGCGAACTTGGAAGGCACAACTGCAACGGGAAACACATCTTTCAAAGGATCAAATATAACAGATGTTGGTATGTATAAACTCCAGTTTACTCAACTCTCCGTCAGTTGAATATCGATGAACTGTGCATAATTTGCCCGCGAATCTCATTACTGCGTAGTCGGTCAATTTATTTGGTTGTCTTCTTATGATCAAATTTCACAGATGTATCACTGCGAGATGATCAACGTGAATATCTTTGCAAAGCTGCAGATGGGTAAGATAACTAGCTATAACAACTGCTTTAAAACATGTTCTACATTTATCCGATTATTGAAACGACATTTTGGTGTTAGGGTGAATCCGACCACCGGAAACGCAACACGGGACACATTGCTTTGCAATTAGATGAAAGATCGAGAAATCACCGCCGCAACGAGTGTTATTCGAGGTATGTAAATATTTTGCTATGAGAAACCGTGTCATATGTGATCAATTATGTCATTGTTTTTATTGCGTCCCACTTTGAAGACATGTAAAATGTGTATACCTCGTTATGTAATGAAATTTCAAACCAACTGTTGAGGTTTGTAAATGTTTTGCTGTGAACAACTATTTTCAACCTAATGATATATACACTTTGAGTTTCATGACAAATTTCATGGCCATAATCTCTTTTAATAGCATGTATATCATGAGTATTTTTTATTTTTGGTATATTCAAGCAAGGTTCGGGGTGAAAGGGACGACGATTAGTCACCGATCCTGCAATCTTTTCGGAAACAACCAATGACCATTAGGTTTAAATCCCACATTTTTCGCCTAGGCGGAAGGAATCCTAGGACCTGAACACTAGATATGTTGGACAGTCACCTTCGAGGTGAAATGAACGTTGATGGAGTTGATTTCCAGGTCTTCTTTTTCTTTATTCCTGTAATTGACATTTTGGGGTTTTAAGTTCGGGCTCTTGTAGTCTTGTCCATGGTGAAGTTTACATGGATACTGCAACAATCATTCATATTGACATTTCTCATTTTCTTTCATTGACGTTTCAACTCAAACGCGATTTTGTTCTCTCGAGTCATTTCTCATTGATGTAGTTTTACTTTTGTACAACAAATATGCATATGCATGCACATGCACATACAAATATGCTACGACTCTTAATTTCCCATTGATGTGTTACTTCTCCTATTTCACTAACCTAACAGAGAAATAAAATATCAAATGTAAAATTATAAATTGACACTAACCTAACTGAAAAATACAATTATAAATTGTTTAATTTATAATTTTATATAATATATATAATTTTGATTTTTGTTTAATTGCATATATAAAATTTTAATTTATTTATGCACATTAAAAAAGTAAATGCATTTATTTATAATAAAGTCATCTTTATACATTTTGGTATGAGTAAAATGGTTCATCTATTAAAATGTTCATACGCTTATTTAGTTAAATATTGATGTAAAATTTTAATATATTTTTAGATAAATTATGTAAAATTTAATATTAATTAAAATTATGCATGATATATTTACTCTTTTATTCTACCCAATTATCTTTTAAATTTTATAAAAAGTTATATATAAATTTTATTAAAAATTATATATATTAAAAATAATAAAGTAATATATTCTCGATGAATTTTTATATAAATATTTTCATTTAAATATTTAGAATTCCACTTGTTAAAAATATAGAACAATGATAATTTCGTAAAATATATATTCCAATAATCTTTTATTACTTCAACCAAACACTGTAATTTTACATTCCTGCCAAACAAACCAAACACAGTAATGTAACATTTCCAGTAATGTGTTAGGTAATGTTACATTCCGGTAATCCTATTCCCGGAGGTAATCTTACATTCCGTGAACCAAACACACCCTTAAATACATCTACAAGCATTAGTCAAAGCGTTTTCCCTTTTCTCTGCCCAGTGCTCAACTCCGTATGTCAGGAAATTACTTTCTGTTAAAGAATATCGAAAACTTGTCACTTTTTAAAATCCATCTTCCATTATCTTATTTAATCAATTTTTTTCTTCTAAATCTTAATAGATTTAGGAGGCATGAGATATAATTTATATTTGACATGTAAAAGAATGTAATTTTAAACAAAAATGAGTCTGCCTTTCATATTATTTTTTTCTTAAAATTTATCCAAATCAAAAAGTAAATTTAATGTGATTCTTTAATCAATATTATTTACCGTTAATTTTTAGGGTGTTGATGTAAAAATTTACGGTGTTTATGTTGTAGTTTACTATGCTAAAGTAACAGTTAATAGTAACTAATGATATGACATATGACATGACAAAAGAAATAATTAAATTTTTTTACCTTGTTCGAGGTGAAATTGATTTTTTATAAATTTCAAGGGCTTATTTAATTTTTAACGATAAATAAAAATTATTTTTGAATTTAAAATTTTAAATATAAAAGATTCAAATATTAAATAATTAAATATAAAAAACATTAAAAATAAAAAATAAAAAAATAAAATATATATATATATATATATATTAAAATACTATTAAAAAAATATACATCATAAGCTATAAAATGATAACTTATAAATTATTAAAAAAAAATTAAATATCTTTAACATATATTGATATCATCAATACTTATACAAAAATTTTCTTACTGTATTAGTCTAGACTTAAAAATTTTATATCTAAATTATTGAACCACTTTTTATAATGTTTTGATATACCAATTTAAGGGAAAAATGTTTTGGACTTGAATTGAATTTATTCAAAATTTTCAAAGCTTTCAAAAATAATTCAAAGTTCTTTAAAAGTGAATTTGAGCACAAAATTGTTTTTCAACGTACGTAGTACCAATACTGTTCTTACAGTATCGATACTATATGAACAGTACCGATACCAAAGGTAAGGGAAGTATCAATAGTCACTAGGTAGTATCAATACTACCAACGTTGCTCAAATTCCAGAATACAAAAATAGTATTGATACCCAAAGGGGTACCAATACTACTTTACATAGTAGTATCGATATCATAGGCTTAGTATTGATACCGTAAGGTTCAACGGCTAGTAACGGCTAGTTTTATTTAAAAATAACAAAGGTAATACTGATACTCCCTATAGGAGTATCGATACCCTCTGTACTGGGTAGTTTTATTTTGTAGAGAAAAATATCCCCAACGGCTCCAAATTACTCCCAACGGCTAAAAACGGCCACAAACTCATTCCAACATATAAATACAAGTTCAAGACACTTGAAGAATGGTTAGAACACCTACTCAAGCAATCAAACACAAGAGAAGAGCATTTCACTCTTTATTCTTATTCTCTTGTAAATATTTTGTTCTTGTGAGCTTTAATTCTTTGTAAACACCTTTCTTTTAGAGGTTTTCTTTGTTTACATCTTTTTCTTTGTAAAGGGGCTTTGGTTCTATCTGAGCATGTTAAAAGCTAGGGAGTTTAGTAAAGGTTATTTCTTGATCTTGTAAAAAGAAATAACAAATTAGAGAATTTGTTGGAAAATCCTTAGTGAGGAGTTAAGGTAGTAGAGATAGACTTAGTTGAGAAGTCGAACCACTATAAATCATTGTGCCAATTTTTTCTATATTTTTTCTTTCTCCTTACTCCCTAAACAATATTTTCAATTCCCCTCCTTGTACATTTTTCGGTTGTTCAGATTGAGCTTCGACAATCCCAACAATTGGTATCAGAGTTTGACTCATTAGAATGTTTAACCTCCTTGAGACGATCCTTGAAGAAGCTCTACCGATTCCCAAAGCAACAGATAAGATGACTTCTACCTCTGACTCGTTTTACATGGAAGACTCCCAACTGATCAACAAGCCTCCGCATTTCACTGATCCAAACTACCATCATTGGAATAAATTAATGAAGTTATTCATCCAATCCAATGATCTTGATGCATGGGAGATGATCGAGGACGGATACCCTTCTCCAACGAAGAAGACAAAGAAGTGGAGTGACCAAGAACGGAAGAAAGCTCAAAAATTGCCAAGGCCATGCACATGTTATTTTTGTGCATTTGGTCCCGATATCTATGAAGGAGTTTCTTCTTGTTCCAATGCCAAGGAGCTTTGGAATAAGCTCAAGGAAATCTACGGAGACAAGAAAGAATATCTAACAAAGGTGGTGTCTCTAATGGCTCATGAAGAGCCCAAGATATCTACTTATTCAAGTGAATCAAATTCTTATTCTTTTAATGAGTTATAATATGCATACGATGAATTATTTTCGGAGTTTGAGACCATGAACTCCAAATACAAGAAATTGATTTCTAAATTTAAAGTTGAAAACGATTTTCTTTTGAAAGAAAAAATGGATTTTGCAAATCAAAATGAAAATTTGAAAAATGATTTAGAGATTTCAAAAATGAAAATTGAAAATTTTGAAAAAAAAATGTTTTGATTTAAAAGTTAAGCTTGAATGCTTAACAAAAGAAAATGAAATCATTTTAAATAATTCATTTAGTTCCATAATGAAAAAAATTCATTGTCATTATCATGGTCGCAAGGAACATATTTGTCCTTTGAAAAAAGGAAAACGTTTTAAAATTAGACAAGTATGAGTTCCAAAAGGATCAAGAGGCATTGAAACTAACGTTCAAGGATCCAAAGCAATTTGGATACCAAAATCCAAAAGAATGTCTCTTGTAGGTGTGTGGGAGCAATAATGATGAAAGTGGAGATACTCAAATGCTCTAGCCGCACTTGAAAATGAATGGTAATCTCTAAGCTTAATGCTTTTGTTTTTTATTATTTGGTTGCTCATTTAGGTTTATGCATGCATGAGTTTTGATTTTAAATGATTTCATGTTTTCTATCTCATATATGTTGAAAATGATTTTAAATGATTTTTCATAATTTCTAGTTCATCATAATGAATTTTGGTCAAAATTGGTTTTAAATGCAAATCATATCTCTCTAGCAATTGATATCAAAATTTTCAAATGCTTTAACTTTACAAATTTTAATTTTTGACCGAAATTTAAATGTTTATGCATGTGGTTTAAAGTGCAAATGATATCTCTCCAACAATTGATATCAAATTTTTTAAATGCATAACATTTTTGGATAACTTTATGCATATGCACTTAATTTCAACAATTGGTATTGCATAAAGTATTTTACACTTGGATATGTTGAATTTCATGTGTTACTAACATGTTTGTTATTCTTTGTTGAAATTCAATTTCTCTTAAGTGTTAAGATTTTAGAGTCAATTTTTTGTTTGGAATGTACTTCTTAAGGGGGAGCCTTTGATTTTCCAAATGTTTTTAATGTCAAATTTACCACTTACTCTCTAATGTTATTTTTGAACTTTAAAGTTGAATTATTTTTCATATAACAAAAAGGGGGAGAAGTATAGGTTTGAAAAAATTAATTTCT